GCAGTCGCCTCTGGATGGCTATATTCATGTAAAATATCAATAGGACAAAGTTTATCAAAACTAAGTTCCTTAAACCAAAACCGTCTCTGCCAATATATGATAAAATTAAGCGTGTGTTAAGATGTTTTAAAGTAGATCAGTTACAAAGGTGGAGTTTGTCAAAGCTGACATGTTCCCCAATAAAATAGTCCAGCCATGTAAGCAATCCTCAGGGCGCTCTCCGTAGCCCAGACATGTGTGCAGATTCCCTCACTGTACGTGGAATTGTTATAGCTTATTTGTGGATAGCAAACAGCTTAAAATATCTGCAGGAACTTGTTCCCTTCTTCAGAAAGAGTTGTGGCTAATTAGAGTTTCTATTTTGTTGTGCTTCCTGACCTCTCAATTGGCCTGTAAGCTATAAGTGATGTTCAAACAATTTGTTTGGGACATAAAAGTTGTTTTGCATCTACTTTGCATAAAAGCATCAAACATGGTGTTGAAATACGTTCAAATTATTAGGCAATTTAATACAATGTTATTGTTTCCCTCAGTGGCCAATGGCTCTGTCTATGTAAAACTAAGCTCTTGCCTCTTATTTCATATTTTGGGATACATTAGAGATATATTATGAGTATAGTTGGAGGTTCTTATTTTTAGAACTCGTTAAATTAAGAGAGGAAGACGGTAGTCACACAGGCGAAATTTAGTAAAAATATATGTGGAACTAAAATGTAAATAGTTGGCATAATTTGAAGAGCTAACTGTGAATCTATACTTGAATATTTTCATTTGAAATGTACAAGATAATCAGTCAAAAAATATATATATGCACATATTACAGAGCATCCTCCTTTCACTGCTATTTTAACATTTGCGAGAGAAAAAATTTCATCGGAGTCTTTAAACAAAGAAGTAAGTGTAAGAATTAGTTATAATTTGGTTAGGGCCAAAATTGCAGGTAAGTTCAACCAGATGTTTCAATGGAATGACTCCTTAATTACCTAAACAATGACACAAAGCCGTTGCAGCTAAGTAGAATATATAGCATATAACTCTTATAAATGTTAGCAAAGAGCTAGATACATTAAACAATGGATCTAGAAATCTCCTTCCCTAAGGGTCTAAATTGTACAAAGATAGGCAAGGATAAACTTCTGTGCCATTAAAACAGATGGAAAATGAGTTTTGTGATAATATAGTAGTAATTCTGGGCCTATTTCAAATTATCAAAACCTGTCATAACTCACATTTTTGACTTATCAACCAACTGGAAGTGCAATTTAGAAGGAAGGAAGGTGAACTGGAAGTTAAAATTAATTCAGGAATTCTGCCTTACTCAGATGAATGCTGGGCTTTTTGTGAAACTTACCCGAATAAACGTTAAATATAATTTGACGTCTAAGCTTGTCCTGAAATTGGAGAGAACTGGGGTTATTTTTCATGAATAGTGAAAGCTACATGGAACTGCATGGGCCACATTTTTCCTTGACTGATTGAGGAGAAAAATGGCTGGCAACTACGAGGGAGAGACACAAGCGATCACGGATTTTGGTGGGCGGGCTCAGTGGGGTTGGGGATGAAGGAAACACACAAAGCGTGGATCCCACAGCGTTGGAGGTGGAAGGTGCTGCTGAGACCCCTTGTGCTGTGGATTTCCACCGTGTGCAGAGATCTCTGCAGCTCTGGGGATCTTCCTTAGAGACAGCTGCAGGGGATAAAGGGACAGGCTAATCGGTGGGGCTCTTGGCACCTAACACTCTCTGTAACCACAGAGGGCCCTTCTGATGAATATATTTGGGTCCTGCATAAGATTTTGTATGAAAAAAAGACTCTACTGTGTGGCATAACAATGTTTAAATGTCATTATAGTTAGGGGTCCCCTTCCCCACCGCAATTATTGCAGAATTATGAGAAGATTACCTAAGGATGGATGCTCATGAGCTAGTCTCAAGCATGCATGCATTTTCCAACAAATATTTACAGAGCGTCTACTAAGGAGCAGCTAAAGTGCTTCGTCAATACCCCAGAGTGGCTAGAATGAGCCACAGGGCAACCTGAAAATGGATACCGCTCTACCTCTCAGTTGGAGAGCAATGATTTGCTAACAGTTTGCACGTTACAACTTTTTAATCTGCTCAGCATGTATTCCAAATAGAATTATCAAGAAATGACAAGCTTCCCTTTTCCACCCACGTTACAGAACTAGATTTGGGTATCTGAACGATAAGAAAAGTTAACCAATTGAGATTTATTTCAAAAGGTATTTGCTGTGTTCCAAAAGTTGGTGCGAGAATAACTGCAAGGAGAGACAAAGGCTGGTACAGTGGCAACTGCTGGCGTGGGCTCCAAGGAAGCAGAGGAGAAGGAGCCGGCTGCTTCAAGCTCTGTCCCTTGCTAGCTGGAGAGAGGGCAGAGATGTCTGCAGCGGAAGCTGTAGCCAGGCCCAGCACCGGGGCTGAGGGGACCCTGGGGCTCATAATCTGAGTGACCATGGATTGATATGTTCTGGAATATTCTAGTGTACTCCAGCATTCTGAGGCTTGCATCCTCATGGCCAAGACCCTGACAAATAAAAATGGCAAGCAATAAGATATATTGGAGCATATGAGGAAGCCATTTGGTATAAACCTAATTCGGCCTGACTTTGTTTTTTTCCAAAAGGGCCTGACTGTGGCTGTTGAGCACGCATTGTATATCTGCTTAGACATTTCCTATGGCCAGAACAAAGGCCCTTGAGATAAAGGTGCAACTTCCCCCCACATTAGCATTTCCTTAGGGATAAGCATTTTTCCTTAGGCTAGGAACTGATTGCTGCACTCACCTTTGACCACCCAGCTCACCTGTGACCACTCAGCTGGAGACAACAGACTGCCACCCTGCTGTGGTCACTGAGACAGAACACCTACCTGCTATTTCCATCAATCGCTGTGCCGACAGAGCAGTCTCGTGACTATTGTAAAAGGGACATTTCAATCCTATGTGAAACACCCTCTCTGGGGGTATATAACCAGTCTGTGCACCCCACTTCTTTGGTGTCCTTTCTTCCTTAGGGAAGAAAGGCCCCGGGTTATAATCCTCAGATTTAAGCTCAGAATAAACTCTCCCAAATTTTCATTTATAGATTGGTTATGGATTATTTTTGTTGACAACCCCAATGTAGAGCTAAGTGGAAGCTGACTCCAATTCCTGGCTTCTCAGCAGTGTTTTCTCCTGAATGTTGACCAAGCGAGCAACCAAGTTTCTCTTTACTTCCCTCTGATGTTGGAAGTAGGGTGACCAGCTCATCCAGGTGTACCCAAGACTCTCCTGGTTTTAGCACTGAAAGTCTCGTATCCCAGAAGACCCTTCATTCCACGGCAAACTGGGACAAAGAGTCACCCTGAGGAAGTAAGAGCCAAATGAATAGGCTGGGTATTTCAGTAACAAACCATCACGAAAGAGAGTGACTCAAAACAACCATCATTTTGTTGTTCACCATTCTGAAATCTTGGCTGGGATCAGCCGGGCGGTTCTTCTGCTGGTCTTGCTAATGATTATTTGTGTGGCTGCATTCAGCCAGGGGTTGGCAGGAGGCCGGGCTCGGCAGGGATGCAGGGACATCTGGGCCTTGCTCCCTTTCCAGGCAACCTCATGGCCTGTCCCTTTCCAGGTGGCCTCTCCCAGGGGCTTTTTACAGTAGGGTAGCTGAACTTACACATGGTGGCAAAGGGCTCCTCAGAGAGCAGAACCTGCCTGGCTTCTCAAGGCTCAGTCCTGGAACCGGCACAGTGTATTTCCACCATTACTTCTTGGTAAATGCCAGCACTGTGTCATTCTAGAATCAAGGTGAGGGGACTACATAAGAAGTGAATACCACAGGGTAGTTCATTGGGGGCTATCAAGGTGCCAGCCTACTCCAGAGGTTCAGTGAGAGGCTCACTTGGCCTCACAAGATTCAGATGCCTGATTCACTTCTGACCCGTTTGCTGGCCACCTTCCTTACTCTCCTCACATTCTCAGAGAGAGCTGAATATGGACCTTCGACCATTGGTCAGAGCCTTCGAGAGCTCTGGGTAGGTACAGTATAGGTCAAGTTTATCCCTGTTATTCTGACTTCTGCCAGGCCTACTGAGGATGGTGAATCCCTGTTAAGATTACCAGAAGATTTGCAAGAAGCAGCAGGTGAGGAGGCCTGGGTCTTACAGTGTTGATATGAGGCAATAAAGGCCTCGAGTCTTCTCTGCAGCACTTCCTGGGGAGTGAGCGCCACGTGGAATCTCTCCTCAGGGCAGATTACAGAGTTCACTAGCACAGCCCCTGGTTTACAGGAACTGACCCTTTCCAACATGGAACCTCCCTGGTCCCACTCTCCTTCTGAAGTTTAAACAACTGTCAGCATTGGTCCCTCCCTCCTTTCCTCTCCACCTGCCTCAGACTGCAGCTCTAACCTCTGCATTGACTTGGCTTCCCAATGGGCTTCCCTCCCTGCGCTGTGAGCCCTGCGATGGCAGGGCGACGTCCACTCCTTCTTGAACACACAGGATAGATGGATGACGAGGGCTGCAGTCTCCTGGGAGACCAGCCCATCACTCTCCACTTCAGAGCAGCTGAATCTCGCTGGTTTCCATATCTCCCGGGCTTTTCCTTCCCTCTTCCCGTCTCCCCCCGCTTTTTTTTTTTTTTTTTTTGCAGGAAAGAATCGGGCCCTCTCACCTTCCCCCAACACAAACTGCCTTCAAAGAACCCCTGAGCTGCCTCGGAGCCCAGGACGGCTGCTTGCCTTCCTTCCCTTTCGTCTCCTGACCTCCTCTTCCATCACTGTGGGCACTATCTGCGCACTGGGACTTGTGGCTTCTTCCCTCGTTTTAACGCCACCCCGCCGCGTGTCACCGCCGGGCCGCGCGCATCCCGCCTCCGCTCTGTAGCTTTAAGCAGGTCCTCGCTCCGCGCCCCTCCCTCACCGCTCCGGGCGCTCGGCTGCTCCCCGCCGCCTCTCCCGCTCCTCCTCTCCTCCTCCTGCTCCTCCTCCTCCCGCTCCTCCTCCTCCTCCCGCTCCTCCTCGCCGCCGCCGGCCCCGCCGCCCGCTCTGCATCTCGCAGCCTCCCGGGCCCCGCAGCCATGGCCGACATCAAGACGGGCATCTTCGCCAAGAACGTCCAGAAGCGACTCAACCGCGCGCAGGAAAAGGTCAGAAGCGGCCGGCGGGGCAGGTGGCAGGAGCCCAGGGCGCGGCGGTGGGGCCGAGCCGGCCGGGGAGCGGGAGGCCGGGCGGCTGCGGCGCTGCGGGGCCGGGGTCGCGGGGCCGCCCTGCCCACCGCCGCGGCGACTGCAGCCAGGCGCCACCTGGCGCGGGGGGGCCCGGCCGGGACGGGAGCGCCGGGGGCGCGCAGACCCTGGCCCCGGGGCGCTGGGTCTGCGGATCCCGCGCTCCGCTTCCCCGGCCGCGCGCTCCCCGGGCGGGAGCCGGCCCGAGCGGTCGCAGGTGCGGCCGGGCCGAGCGCATCTCCCTCCCGGCGCCCGCTCGCCCGCGGCAGCTGGAGGGATGCGGCCGCGGGTCCGGGCGGGAGGTTGCGGCAGCCGTCCTTCCTCCGGGGGGAGTCCTGGCCGCTGGAGTGCAGCAGAACGGAATGATCTGGCACAGAAGTTACCCCCAAATCTTCAGATGAGTAGGGATGATCGCGAAAAACCACCGGCTTTAATACAGTGCTGTGGAGTGAATCCTGGAGTTCAAAACAGAGATCTAGATACATACTTTTTTTTTTTTCTCTTTCTCGCTCTCTTTTTTAATCTCTGTGTGTGTGTCCCTTTTGACGCCAGTGTCCTTCTCTGGAAGGTCAAAAATAAATATGACCTGAACCTAACAGTTCTTCTCCGCACATTTCTGCACCAAGGAGGGCGTTTCATTGCATTTAAAAAACATCTGTGTTGCACGGGTTGAGTTCTCTGGTGTTTTACAAGCCCTTCAGTAAATTGGCCACAGTAATTTATTTTTCTCCCCCAGAGATGGCCACAAACGAATCCCAGGTCCGTAGCAAGCACAGCCCTGAGCAGTTGGAGAGGTATTGTACCAGGCACTGGCTTTTCCTGTCTTCTCTGATGACCGCTGGTCGTTAAGACCTTGCCAGCACCGGGGTCTGCATTTGTGTCCCGAGCACAGGACGTTCGTATCGTAGCTTAAGCACTGTGCTTGAAAATGCACACCTGCCAGAGAGCCCCATGGTTTCTGTCAGTTGAACTGTGTTCTCTTTCACGTGGCAGTATTTTCCGTCCCCGGGATTCTGGGTGTTTAGTGGTTTCTTGTGTTCCTGGAAGTCAGATTTGCTGCGTTGCTCACTATGACAGTGAATTTCCCTCTTCAGACCCAGACCTCAGGCTGCCCCCAGTCCCGCTGACCTGAGGAGCGGAGCAGAGTGGGGCTGATGCCTTTGCTTGTTCCCGGGCTGGAGGCTGGCTGCTGCCTCTAGTCCCTCCCTCCACACATGCACCGTCTCAATGCAGTAAGAGGATTGTATTTCTTTTAATATCTACCCAAGCTCATCCTGAACTACCGTGATCCGCCTGCTGCTCCTTCAGCAGCTGAATTAGCAAGGCTGCCTGCCCCCTTCCAGTCCCTGGTTACTTGTCCAGAAAGGAGCCACGATCTTCTGGGATCCCGGCCAGGTCTGGTCATCATTTTTCCATATTTCATTTTACACACTTACTTGTGGGTGTTCCTCCCCGCCCCTCCATTCCAAGTGATTTACTTGAATCTTTGGTCTGAAGCCTTTCACTGAATCCACTTTTCATCCGTGAAGGAATTTAGCCATGCTGTCTGCCGTTTCACATATCAAATTATTTCTTAATCTAGGTCACCAGCTGTTAATATGCCAAAAATAAATGAAAAGAAAATGTCATCTGTCTCACGGAGCATTCAGGCCCTTATGAATTGTTGAAAACTCACTTTTTCATGGTTAAGGTGGAGTGTGTGTTATGATTGCTGTTGTGGATGGTGTTGCTCTTCTATGGGTCTGTGGGAGCGGAGGTCTCAGGGAGCCTTAGGCAGGGCTTCAAGTGTCCCATATTTGTTTTTCCTGGGGCAAGTTGCTGATGAAAAGTGCCCGTGGCACCTAATCTAGGAGGTTAAGACACCAAGAGGCTGAGAGTGTGGGCTCTGCCCCTGGGTAGGTTGTGCCTCCTTCCTGAGCCTGTGCAGCTCAAAGGGAAAAGCCGTGTGGGAATCCAGGATAGGCAGCCCAGCCCAGCCCGAATGGAAGCTGCTGGAGAATGGAAAGCAGAGGATGTGGCTATTGCTGCCTTCATTAGACGTCTCCTCCAAGGATGCCTTCTTTTTGCCTCTTCAGTCTCTTCCTCTTCTCCAGTGCCCAGACTCTCCGTCGCAGTGACTACGCCTCGTGTGTTCTTGAGACCCTTTGCTCCTTGTTTATACAACCGAATTTTCTGAGAAACGAGTCCACTCCCTTGCCTTCCTCATCCTCTGTGCTCCACCTAACAGCTTGCGTGCATTTTGGCTCCAGAGGCATGACTGAAACTACTCTTAGAGGTGTCTTATGGATTTTTATGAATTTAAAATGCATTTTTTCTTATTGAAAGTCTATGCAGGGTCATTGGAGAAAGAGTGAAATATACATAAAAGCCAAAAAAAAGAAAAAAATCTACCAAAGTAGGATGCTTATAATTCTACCACCCAGAGATTTTACTAGCATTTGATGTATCTCCTAGTAGATCTCTTTCCATAGGAATATGTATATATTTATACAACAAAAATAGGCTCATACGATATAGTTTTGTAACCTGTTTATTTCATTTAATAATCGTGAGCATTCTTCAATATATCTACATATTTTCCATCAATATTTCATATATTTATTTATTGAGGAAGATTAGCCCTGAGCTAACATCTGCTGCCAATCCCCCTCTTTTTTGCTGAGGAAGACTGGCCCTGAGCTAACATGCGTGCCCATCTTCTTCTACTTTATATGTGGGACGCCTACCACAGCATGGCCTGCCAAGTGGTGCCATGTCCGCACCTGGGACCTGAACCAGTGAACCACGGGCGGCCTAAGCAGAACGTGCACACCTAACTGGTGAGCCACCAGGCTGGCTCCTCCATCAATATTTTAAATGACTGAACAATATTGGAATGTATGGATTTTAATGAACTCCCTATTTTTGGGCATTCAGTTTCCAGCGTTTCTGTATATAAACACAGATCAGTGAGGAAACTTGTGGGGAAAAGGCTGGCACACATCGTTAAGTCTTTCCTTAGATAAATTTCTAGAAGAAGAATGATAATTGCCTTTCAGAAAGGTTGTATCAGTTTACATCTCACTAGCAGTCCACAAGATGATTGCCAACACTGGATCATAAAATTTGAAACAATCTTTAGATATGTCATTGGAAAAAATTAGTTGCTATTTATTTCATTGGTTTGATTTTTAAAAACTGAACATAACTTTTTGCATTCCTGTTTTTTCATTTGCAAATTATATGTGTATGTTTTTGCCCATTTTGTGTAGCATCTCCATCCTGGTGTTTGTAAGGGCAAAAACTTTATCAATCCTAAAGGTTATAAACATTCTGCCGTCTTTTTCTGTTTACTTTTTAAATTTTTTGATGATATTTTTCTCCTATAGAGATTGTTTTTATTAGGTTTATGTTTGATGTATATTTGCTTATATTTGTTGATTGATTTCAAAAGCTTTCTCATTTGGGTGTTGAATTAGTCAAAAGCTTGCCGCTTGTAAGTCTCAGAGAACTCAATTCAGACTGACTTGAGGAAAAAAGGGAATTTAATTACTAAAAATAAAAATATGGCTCTTGCACATATAAATTTAAATGAGGTTTTAATATATAAATATGTATTTGTGCATGTGTGTATTATATATATTAACTCATCTGATTCTATGAAGTAGGCACTGTTACTGTCCCCGTTTTATAGATGAGGAAGAGGTTAGTAAGTGGTAAAGCGGGAGTTTGAACCCGAGCAGTCCAATGCTTTGCCATTACATGATGCTGCCTCTTAGAATTATAAAAAGGGCAGGGGTAGAAGAACTTCCTACTTGCCCCAGAAGAACCAGGGGCTCAACCGCAGATGTCAGGGCTCGGGTGCCTTCTCCCATCTCTCATCTCTGCCATCCCTTCTGCCAGCCGCATTCTTGGGCAAATTCTTCTCTCTTGGTGGCAAGATGGCTGCCAGCAACTCTAGGCAATAGCACGTTTCTCCTTCAATGTTTACAGAGAACTACTCTGAATAGCTTTCATTGGCCCAAGTGGGACCTTGTGTCTATCCTTGGAAGAAAAAAAATCTCTCTGGCCAAGGGCCAGGACCGTAGGTTGGATTGGGCCTGAGTCACAAGCTGCTGCTGAAGCTAGGATGGAGAAATTCTCCCCGGACCACGTGGACTCATGGTGCAGGATGAGGGGAAACCAGAGTACAGAAGGTGGGATGGATGCTGTGCTGGAAAAATAAGAAGTATCTACTGAGGCATACTTAAAAGGCCTTCTCTGTCCCATGTTTATATTAATAATCACATATTTAATAATTTATAATTTGATATTTGGTTTAAAATTTCCTATCGAATTCATATATGCACAGTTTAAAAAATCAAATATTAGTGAAAGGCTTACTATGAAAAATAGCAGACACCTGTCCTTCCTCTCATCAACTTCCAGTCTTGTTTCCTCAGAGGCAGCTCTTAAAAATATGCTTATGTATGGGCCAGCCCGGTGGTGTAGTGGTTAAGTTCGTGCTCTCCACTTCGGCAGCTGGGTTAGCGGGTTCTGATCCCGGGCACAGACCTACACACTGCTCATCAAGCCATGCTGTGGCACTGTCACACATACAAAATAGAGGAAGATTGGCACAGATGTTAGCTCAGGGCCAATATTTCTTGGGCAAAAAGGGGAAGATTGGCAACAGATGTGTTAGCCCAGGGCCAATCTTCCTCACCAAAAAAAAAAAAAAAGCTTCTATAACTACTTCTTGATCTATGCTTTCATGTTTTGTGAAGATAGGGAAAGATTTAGCTTTCTTACATTCATCCTTCTACTTCCATGTCCCTTAGTCGTATATTATAGCAAAAATTGTTGATTGCTGAGATAACATTTAAAAAAATTAAAGTATAATTTTCATTGAAGAAAGTATACAAATCTTAAGTATTCCACTTGGTGAATTTTTGCATATGGAA